TAAAGAGATTAAAAAAAGAGTGTGGGATTGTTCTGGCTTGCCCTTGGCATATGCTTTACATGTTGTGACGTGACAGTCAGTATGTGCCCTTATATCGTGACAGCATCCAGCAGATGCTTTGCACGCGCGTAAATAGACACGCGCCGTAAGGCAGCAGAGAGCCAGACCAGTGGTCCAGGAGATTTGAATTTGCAACAAGTAGTAGAAAATGGCTGAAGAGACAGCTAAATATCCCACCTCTCGGGAGTCCTACCTGCAGACGTGAAGGAAATAGAGGTAGGGATTAATATTCTGCCAAGATCCTTGATGTTGCTGTTGGAGGAAGGGAACAGCACAGCGCTGGGGTTATCCGTCCCACGTCCAGGACCATATGCAGCACAGGTAGCAAACCTGATCCCTCCTACCTGAGCATCCCAGTGGCATGAAATCCCTATTATTTACCCCTTCCTGTGGCTGCACTGGCTCAGCCCTGGCCCAAACCCTTCAAACCAGGCAAACTTGCCAGCACGAAGAAGCTTTGGGACCGTGCTGGGGACAGATGGCTGGGCTCCCTCGTGAACAGAGCCAGCGGGTATGGTTCCAGCAACAGGCTCTGGCTGCTTCATTGGAGTAATGATTGATGGTGACTTATACAAGGGCTAAGAGTAATTCTTTGCTGTTAACCAGACTTGGCTACAGCAGAATGGAAGTGGAAATTTGTTGCTTCATTTATTCATCCTGCCTCTGCTTCCTCCCCGCCCACCCTTTGTGCTTTTTAATACCAAAAAGATGAAGCTCCTTTGCCCCATCTTAAAATTGTCTTTCCCAAGATACTCTTAATTGTATCTCTATACCTTTTCTCATTCACAGACGCATAAGAAGATTAAAGATAGAGGGAGCAGTAATAGATTTAGTTAGTTTTTAATAGGATTTGCAGAGGACAATGCAGAGAATGTACGCCATAGAGAATATTGCTACTCTATCTTTGATATCCCTAAGGCTTCTTAGGTAGTCTTTCACAGAGATTTTGTCTGTGCCCTGCATTCGGAGTCAAGACTCTCATTTTTCAATAGAGCATGTGTGGTTTTTTTTCTAAAGGAGTATCTAATCATCTCGGTAAACAGGATGTTTCATTATAACCTGCAAAAATCATTGCAGCCATCATTTTGTATTATTTTTTTGTATCTTGTTAAGCATAGTTTTGCATGTCGACTGGGCTTTTTAGGAGTCTGTTACGTATCTAAAGGTGTCTGGTGTTTTTGTCTAATGTCAGATAAAGTAAAGGGATGGGTTCTGATATATCTGATTAACAGTAGGCCTGGATTCATCACACCTTCAGACCTGTAATTCCAGATGCTAAATGAAATGCCTGTCTCACATTTGGAGCCCAGGCTCCCAGAATGATTGGTGGAGGGGGTGGGTACTTCCAGAAGGTGATTCAGCACTCCTGAAATCTGAATTATCCCTGGAGGTGCCTTTCTTTGCTGACTGTAAGGGAAACCTTCATGCATAATTTAGACTTATGTGAGATGCAGGTAGACAGTGGTGCTCAGTGTTTCCTATTGATTTCTAAGGTTTCTCTTGGTATGCACCCAAAACCTGAGACATCAAAAAACTCCAGTCCCTCTTGAAAATATATGTTGATGTATCTTTACGTTGCTCCTACTCGTGATCTCAAGCAAATTTTGGGTATAAAAAAAAAAGTCTGAGGACCAAAAAAAAACCCCAAACCCCAAAAGCTGTAACAAGGTTTGCCCATTTCATGACCCCCACGTCGTGCCCATCACCGTATTTTCTGACGTTCCAGTAGTGCATTAAGCAAAGCGACTGCCAGCTGGTCCGTGTTTGAAAAGCCTGCGTATTATGAACCAGTATTTAACATCCAGTTCACTGCAGCATTATATTTAGCAAGTGGCTGTTTTGAGAGAAGTGCTGAAGCCTTTCAAAGTGTTTCCCAAAACAATACTAGGAGGAAAGACATGGCCCTAGCAAAAAGCTTTCCTGATGTAGAATCAGCCTGTATCCAGCTCTGTACCAGCATGGGGCAAAGTTTGTCAGCGTAGCATTAATGTTTGCAGTGTTTGCTGTCCTGGATTGTTGCAATGGTTCAGGCAGTAAAACAAAATGGCTTTTGTCTCAGCATTTTCCCTCCTATCTTAAACTTGTATTTCTTTGTTCTCCTGCAGCCCAGCCATGGCCGGAGATTCTAGGATCTTCATGAACCAGGACATGGATATCGGAGTTACATCCAGAGAGCCTAAGAAGATTCCCAAACAGGCTCGGGACGATGTCCCCATTGCCACCGACCGAACCCGCCTCATATCAGCAGAAGGTAAGAAGCCACGTCAGCGTTATATGGAGAAAAGCGGCAAGTGCAATGTGCACCATGGAAACGTCCAAGAAACCTATCGATACCTTAGTGACCTCTTCACTACGCTGGTGGACCTCAAGTGGCGTTTTAATCTTCTTGTCTTCACTATGGTCTATACCATCACTTGGTTGTTTTTTGGGTTCATCTGGTGGCTCATTGCCTATATCCGGGGAGACCTGGACCATCTTGAAGATGATAACTGGATCCCCTGTGTTGAAAACCTCAGTGGATTTGTTTCTGCATTTCTGTTTTCTATCGAGACTGAGACAACAATTGGGTATGGCTATAGGGTCATAACAGAGAAGTGCCCAGAGGGCATCGTGCTGCTCCTGATCCAGGCTATTCTGGGCTCCATTGTCAATGCGTTCATGGTGGGATGCATGTTTGTCAAGATCAGCCAACCAAAGAAGAGGGCTGAAACCCTCATGTTTTCTAACAACGCAGTGATTTCCATGAGGGATGAGAAGCTCTGTCTCATGTTCCGGGTTGGAGACCTCCGCAATTCCCACATTGTTGAGGCTTCCATTAGAGCCAAACTGATTAAGTCCAAACAGACCAAAGAAGGAGAGTTTATCCCCTTGAACCAAACGGACATCAACGTGGGATTTGACACTGGAGACGACAGATTGTTCCTGGTGTCACCTCTTATCATCTCACATGAAATCAATGAGAAAAGCCCCTTCTGGGAGATGTCCCGCACCCAACTGGAGAAGGAGGAGTTTGAAATTGTGGTCATCCTGGAAGGAATGGTGGAAGCAACAGGTAAGGACTTGTCAAAAATCAGTCACAATTTTGAGGGGGGAAGAGGGAAAATGGAGTGCAGTTTGGCATCAAGATTTTGCTGTCAGTGTCACCTGGACTGAGAACACGTTGGGATTTGTCCTTCTGTAGTGACTGATTCAGGTGGGATATTGTGGTCTGAGATAAGTGGAATTAAAAGATGCATCCTTTAGCTCATAGGGGTTAGTGGAGAAGCTGTCCATGATCACTTAGAACTGATCCATTGGAAAAAAGGAATGAACTAAAGGAATTCACAAGGCCTTTTATGGTCCTGTTTCCTGCGATCAACATTCAGGGCGCAAATCTTTTTCCATTTCTCCTCTGTATTAAAAATTGGCTGTAACTGTGCTATTTTAGGTATCGCTGTAGTGTTGCTTTTTAATGGAGGCTATGAAGGAAGTGCCCAAGTATTACTATATCCCATAAAACAGCGTGAGCTGAATCTGAATGACTTGCACGTGATACAGGACATACATTTTCAAAAGGAGCTCAAAGAGGAAAAATACAGAAACCACTTTTGTGACTCCTGTAACCCAGCAGCTGTTTAACAGCTTAAAACAGTGCTGTGTAATGGGTAGATCAGCAGATACACTCAGCTGATTCTCAATTTCCTCCTATTGGGTGCATTTGTGGCAGGCGATGAAAAAAGTCGGCGTCCGTCTATAATAAATCTGGAAGAGTTGTGTGCCTCAGCTTTCCCAAGGGAGGTGGCAGCGTGCCTCTCAAGCCGAGCGAACGGATGGCCACAAAGGCTTCCAGGCTCCTTTCCACTGGTGGGGCACGGTGCATCCTCCAGGGGCCTGGCTAGGGAGGAGGATGCTTTTACTCCAGGGTCTCACCTAAAAGACATGGCACCATGGGCTCACGTTACCACTTGCAACTAATTTGTTTATTCTGGGCTTTCAGGAGGAGCTGGCAGGCTCTGGCCGTACTTGATAGGAGTACTCAGTGGTATCAGCGTGCTGTCTCACAGATTCTGGCCCTTGCTTACTATTAATACTTTCCCCTTCTTGAGATTTGTCCTTGTTAGCCAGATGTAAGGGGAAATAGTCTCCCAAATTCCTGCATCCCAGACCTTGGCTCTTAAAGACAGCTCTCTAGAGAGCTAATTCAGTTTCCTGGTATCTTCCTTTAGTCGTTCGGTGAATAGCAATGGCTGACTTTTCCAACCAGGGCTAATGGGAGGTTATGTGGAGATTGCACCCTCCCTAGGTTGGATTACTGTACTGGAGAAGTGGAATTCATCTGGCATTGCGAGGCTAATATTCTTTCCCAGCAGAGTATTGTAGAGATGTGGCAAAAGAAGGGGTGGGTGGAAAAGACTATCAAAGGCAAAGATTTGTAATGGAAGCTTATTTTGTAGCCGAAACATTTACTAGATACTAGAGCCTCCTAATCTGAGCACGGAATGCAGTTTCTTGTTTGTCTAAAGCCTCTTTCCTCAGCGCGCAGTGACACTATCAAATTCTCTTTGAACAGCTACTGCACTGCCTTCCTCTTATGAAAGCTCAGCCTCTGCTAGATATGGATGAGAGGAAGTCATTACCAATAACAACCTCAAAATTAAAAGCATGGCATGGGAATAATATTGCTTTACAAATGGGCTGCTCTCCCAGAGGGATTGTGGAGGCCAGTGTGTAATGATATTAAGGAGCATACAGCTGTGGAAATGCATTATTCTGGTCTCAGAAGACAGGCTGTGAAATTCCAAAATTGGAGCTAGAAGAGCCGGTTTGCACTGAAGTTAGAGCAGAGTGGGCCTCAGACGATGCCGTTATCTGATTCAGAGGCCGAGATGGTTTTCTGAATGACGTAGGGTAACCGGGGGGGGGACACGTTGCCACAGTGAGAGCGGCTTGCAGAAGCACGGGGTTTGTGCTTTCCTGCTTTGTCCTCACACTTTGTAATATTGATAATGCAGTTTGGGGGATATTAATCCCTACCTCCATACCTTAAAATTTGCTCCAAGCAAATTCTTTATGTTCTTTCCTTCCTATCATATTGTTCAAGCCCCATCTGCTTTCGGGAACGGTATAATTTACTCACAGCATGACTTCTATTAAATCATGTTACAGCCTGGTCAGATTCGGGGCAGACTAAAGATGCATTTGTTCCCTTAGTAACCCCTATGAAAAATTAGGGACCACCATCACAGCAGTCAGAGGTGGAGCTGGTCAGCACACATAGCTCTGTTCATGGTGCACGAGAGGCAAGCGCGTCCTGCGTCCTGCCTCAGAGGTGGCTCCACTCCGCAGTTCTTGTCAGGAATAAAAATGAATGGAAAATTATTCCATCTTTACGGACAACAGCAATTCATTCTGCGCATGCATCCTGCACTGGTGGGGAAGGGACAGCTCTACTTTTTCATAAGGTATTTTGAAAGCAGGTCAAAATGGCGATTGCCAACGTAGAAATGACTAAAGAAATTGGAGTGTAATGTCTTGACTAAGAGCATGAATATTTTTCACTGAAAATTTGGGACAGCAATTTTATAACCATTTCCAATAGCTTTAACCAACCACTGAAATATTTCAAATGTAATGTATTGTCTCCTCTCAAACTCTTCTCACTGACATTTAAGTTTAATTCTGATCCAGCGGAAGGCAAAGATGGTAAATAGTTTCAAAGGAAAAGTGTAGAACAAATTCCGAGGAGCTGAAACACTTCAAGTCATTGGTTTTTTGACAAAATGAAACATTGTGGTTTAAAACAATGTTTTTGTTTTCAAGTTGACTTGAGTTTCCTAAACACTTCAAGTTGGTTTTGTCTTATTTACAAAGTGAAACGTTGTGGTTTAAAACCCTGGGTTTGTTTTCAAGTTGACTTGAAGTTTCAAAAGGTTAAACACTAACACATTGAAGAATAGCAGCACCCAGGGAACTTGCCAGCCAGCTTAAAATGCAGTGGTTTTATTTTGCCAAAAAAAAAAAAAAGACAATAAACATTGTATTATTCTAGTGAGAGCTCCCCAGGGACCCACAGCTATTCTACGAACTGAGCCACGAAGCCAGCCGCGGCAGAAAGCCCACTGCCAGGGGCCTTTCCGATCAATATTTTAGTATGGTTGAGGCACTGCGACTCCATGAGAGGTTAAAAAATGCCAAAGGGAACCCAAGTTTCTGGGCCGATCTGGTTGTGATTGCTGCTGAGTGCAATGACCACAAAATCAATACAGATGACGAGTGTTCTGACTTCCAGTGCTGCTTCGTGGGCATCTTGAAAGCAGCAGCATCGCTCACGGTGCCTCCTTAATGAATTGGTCAGAGATTACTTTAAGGAATTCATTCTCTTTTGCCTTATCTGAAAGGGACACTTGTCAAGAGGAGCTGGCCCAAATCTGACCTGCAATGGAAGGGAAGAAAGTGGAGGTGGAAAACCTGTTTGCATAGTGAATATGGTTTTGCTTTCATTGCCTTTCTGCTTCCCACAGTGGAAACAAAAAATCAGAGCCATCCTGTTGACGGAATAGGCCTAGGCGGTGTCAGCCAAACCCCTGGCCCTTACCCTCCTGGTGCAGAATGGAACACGGCGTATGAAGCGAGGCTGCTGGGGCGTAGAAGAGCAGTGGAGGTTCAGCCCCCCTGCCATGTGCGTGCAGAGTCAGCTGGGTTATGATGAAGAAGTTGGCTGATTCAATTAGAGAACCTTGGAGAGTCCAATTTTTTTTTTTTCCCCTGTAAACCATCACTCCACGTGATGACGCAGTCTCCATATCCTACAAGACTTTCTGGCAGATAATTTGAAGAGGCCTCTCCTCTCTTCCGACTTTACCCTTCCGCTGCTATTTACTGACAATTAACCAAAAGCTGATTTATCAGTAGCTGTCCTGCAAACCTCATTCTGTATCCCTGGTGTCCAGCATCGCTGTCGGCTGGGCATAGTGATAGTGGTGCCTGTTACCTCACTCTTGGTCCCCACTGGTTTTCGTTACCTCTTTAGCCCATCAACATTAAATAAGCCACAAGAGACAGTCCAGAAGCCTGATTAGGTCAGTCGCTAAATGAAGTCTTAGTAAACTCTTAGGAAAGGATAGGGATCTATATTCCGGGCTTAGAGCCTGTGTGATAAAAAGTGGTTTAATGATTAGAAGTCACTTACCTCATCCTGTCCCTGTAAAAAGCAGCCTTTTTCCCCCCTCAATTTATCCCCCTTTACAGAGGACACGGTAAAATTTCCTGGCTGTAAATACAGGACAAAAAGAAGTAGCCACAAAATAAGATATCCTGAAACTAATCACGATTTTCATAGGAGAGCAAAGGAAGGGTGAAATTACTAAATGGAGTTTTCAAGCATTCATCATCTGTTTTGGGTTGTCTTGTTGGTTTGTTTTGCATTTTGCATATAAATAAGTGTTCTTTTCTGCAAGAAGGATCTTGCAGAACTGTTACAGAAACTGCTTCTGTCATTATAGGGCAGAGAGAGACGTCTCAAGTCATTCTTTTCGTGAGCCGAGTTGTCCTCCAGTGGTGGATGTTGGCAGGTTTTTCACCTCAGGTGCCTCTGCAGTCACCAGAAATGCCTTTGCAAGGGACCCCAAGTTACAGGGTGTGAGCTTGGTGCTCAGACTTGGCCTGGTAGAGACGGGGCAATTGAATCCAAGATCTTTAAGTCACAAGGTCCTTCCCCCCCCGCCTCCGTTTCCAGTGCCTACGAGCTTTCACATGCCTGGAGAGCATCCAGATAAATTACAATCCCATTACTCTCCTCTGGCATAAAAATCAAAGTGAATCAAGCCCAGACATGTCCTCCTCTAAAGGAGACAAGCACAAATAATTGGAGGACCATGCTCCTACCTTCTAATATTCCTTTTCAAGTTGGAGGAATATTGACTTTTTGGAGGTTACAGTGTTCTCTGGTCTAATTAATGCAAAGGGACTAATAAATTTTATAACTATCCAAACGCTGAGCCTAAGCTGAAGACATGTATTGCTTAATTAGAATGACAGAACTTAAAATTTTCATAACTCCTCCTTGCCAGCCTA